AGGGGACTTGAACGGTCTGATTGGACACTATTCTCGCAGTCTGGCAGGACTGAATGACACTGTTCGTTAGCACAGAGGACATAACTCCACTGGCTTGGCTGGTTCTTGATTTCAGCTGCCGATGTCAGTGTAACAGGTGCAGATGTATAACCCATGTTAGTAGAATTATTACTAACGAGAATAACAAACTTTACAGAAGTACGAACAAATTTCCCGTTAATTTGGAGAGGAAATATTCGCAGGAGAGACGATGTGCAGCCTCACATTCTCGTGTGCTTTAAGGGGAACAAGTGACACATCAACACTTTAGAGGCAGGGACATGCAGAAAAGACGAAGAATAACATGAACAAGGGGACGAGTAGAACGAGAGTAAAATGAAATAGCAGCAAAAAAGGACTAACAATTTAAATTGCCAGCCCTCCGCCTTCCCACAGACCTGCCTGCTAGAAATTTCAAGACTGCTCGAGGATAAATGCAACTGTTCAGAGAATCCTACAATGATCTCCGCAAATGACCTTTCTCCGGACATCTTTCGCGTTACACTTGATGCCATCAACTTGACAGGAAGGCTACGGCAAATGACAAACAACGAGGCAGTGCGATTTGTCCCTAAGCGATGCAGTCAGTGAGTGACGTGCAAAGGGTTACAAGCAAAGGAAGCACGAGAATGGGAGGAAGATAAATTAGGAGAAGCAAGGGAGCAGAAGGACGAAGAGGTGAAGTAGGAGAAACGTAAGGACCGCAAAAAGAAAGAACAAGGAGAAGAAGGGTAAGAAGAATAAGAAGAGAGAACAGTAAAGGTAAAATTTTCCTGTGCTTAACTAATTAAGCATTACGACATGAAGGCGTATGGGGGAGTGGATGTATAGTTCCACATTTTCTTGACCTGGGTACTAGTTGGAGGTAAGTGGTCAGCTTCAGGCCTCGGCCGCTTTACTCCCAAAGAATGAGCCCCCGGTGCTCATTGGATAGGAGGTTGTGTGGACCCCAGAGCCGGTCTGCATGACGTGGAGAAGAGAAATACTTGACCCTACAGGAATTCGAACTCCAATCCCTCGGTCGTCCAGCTCGTAGCCAGTCGCTGTACGGACTGCGCTATCCCGGCTCCCGAAGAAAGAACAGTAAGAGAAGGAAATGAGGGAAATAGGGAGAGAACAGCAAGGAGAGGAAGAAAAAGAACAAGACTAGGAAGAAGAGAAAGGAAACGCAAAAGCAGAAGATGCGACTGTCCGTTACGCAGAGATGACGGGCGACTCTGTCTCCGACTGCGGACACCAGACAGCAGCACCGGTATTGAGTGAGGGCTGCTTTGCCATTTGAGCGACCGTTTTATGGGCACAACGTCCCGAAACGAAAGTAAGCATTCCTGGCCCGTAAACGGACTAACGTTTGATACTCATAAAGGTCACCACACGTAAGGTCACTACTGTCAGAGCTGCCAGATTTCTAAAAGCACAGTCAGTATTACTTCTATGTCAGACCTCTTATATTTATTTGTTCGATTAACCGAACTAACTCCATGGAGCTAACCCCTTCCAGAGAAGCAGTCAGTTGGGCAGCTACTCAAGATCTTACCAACACTTTATGGAAACCGAAGGTTCATCACCGAAGTCAAAAGAGCCCTCCACTTGTTCCTATCCTGAGCCAAACCGATCCAGTCTATATCACCCCAATCTATCTCTCTAAGATTTATTTTAAAATTACCCATCCACCTACGGCTTGGTCTTCCTAGTGGTCTCTTTCCTTCTGTATTTCCATTTGTTTGATTACTTAACGGCATTTTAACAACTCTGTAGGTTATGGTATTGACTAGAAAATTATTTTGAATTACGAATTAAGAGGAATGTGCAAAGGAGCGGTTGTGAGCTATTTTAGAGAATTAATAAACAATATACCATGTACATGGTACCGGAAGTGTGGAAGGAAAATTTGAATATAAGAGATAAAATATCTGATAAATGCGCTGTAATTTTAAAACGAGACCTGCGAATTACGGAGCTGAAATACAACTACGTGTCTTGCGATGCTCATCTGTTTCCTCACTGACAACAGCTTCATTACAGAGTCATTACTTAGCAACAAGTTTCATGTTACAATATTAAAACTAATTCTAAAGGAAAAGTTTTTGAATCTGTAAAGTGGGTCCTTCTTTCTCAGGATAGAGATAGTGACGGACACTTGTGAATATGGGAATGAAGTTGCCAGTTCCTCAGAAGCGGCAGTCTTGCCCAAGGAAAAAGAACCGTGCTCCGTGAAGTGAAAATATAAAATTACCTCCACTCAGATTGTCTGTGAGGAACCAGAAAAGAATAACGCAAACCGTGTGAGCGTCTGGAGCTAGGAAACAGAAGGCACGTTCCTTTTAATTACAGGAATTTAGTCGCTTACAACACTTATAATTGGCTGGAGCGTCGCGAATCTAATCACAGACCAAGCAGAGCTGTTGTATTCTGTTTTCCTTGCATTTACAAGTCACAAAACCACCAGAAGTAACCGAGCTAAATGTATTATAACCATTTTCTGCTCCAACCCAAGAGATCGTCTTTGTGCTCCTTTTTAGGGACCCCCTACCCGCGAATTTTATTTATCTCTTCCATTCTAAATTGTTAAACAGAACAAGCAGTTTCAAACTTGCTGAAATAAAAAAAGGTTTCTCTTTGTGATATAAATGTTTCTCGCTGGAAGATGTAACTGCTACTTTCTTACTAATTCTTACAATTTTATTGTTTTATATTATTATTCAGAGTTAAAACGAGCACTCAGTCCCATAACTTTGTAGTCTTTCCGCGTGAGTGCGCTGATGGCATCGAAAAGATTTATGACTCCCATCCGGAAGCGAGTCACATTTTGTATCATAGTGTAGCAGGTGCTTTTCAAGTGAAATGAACTGAAAGTATCCGCTCAGCATCTGCGAATCTCCCTGCAAAATGTCCTTGGCTCGAATCTACTAACAGGTTATTCCAACTGTAAGTTTCGTAGAGCCTAAAAAGTTCTGACGTTGGTACATAACACACAGAATTTCTGCGTTTTTGGAGACATTTCTGATTGAGATTAGCCCTTTCTAAGGGGACCAACTTAGTTGGTGTTTTCCCTCCCTCATCTGAGAATTAAAACAGATCCAGTTTCCGAAACGTCGTGTTTTCTATTTTCTAGAATATCGGACGATGGGAAATGTCCAAAAACGCAGAAATTCTGTACGCAAGTTTCGTGTTTTGTCTCAGTGAAACGGAGGTATTTTTCAGATCTGAATATGTAAGGTAAACGTAAGTTCATGAAGGCGTATGGGGAAGTGCAGGAAAACTCCATGCATTCCTCGCCTCGGCATTGGATTGTGATACGTGTAAAATATCACGTTCCTACACTCTGATTAAGTAAAAATGTACCAGTCAACTAATAATTTTTAGGATGATTAAATATAGGTCCATGAAATGGCGTAGCATGAATGTGGGAGATGAGATAAATTAGTTCAGAAAATGCAAGACGAGAGATAATTTCGGAGACCTAGCCGTACGTTAGAAGACAATTTCAAAATCGATCTTACAGGAATAACGTAAGAGGATGTGGGCTGGATTCGCCTCTCTCAGAACGAGACTGAACTGCGGACACATGTGAAGGAGGCAATGATCCAACGTTTTCCAAACTGGCTGGACGTTTCGTGACCAGCTGGACCGCAATCAACTATACGCGAGTCTAGCTGATAACAGAGCAAAAAGAAACACAATCTGTCTCTAAGTTTAGACACTCCAATAACGAGTATTTCGTGAGAAATCTAAACCAGATACAAATGAGGAATGGAAGATCGTGTTAGCTCAGCATACACCGTGTCTGATTCTTATTTCGCCGGAGAGGTTTCTCATTCGAAGCTAGGAAGAGACTACACACTGAAGTCTTCAGTATTAATCTGAATAAAAAATATTGTGACGTGTATACCCACTGCAAGGCAACGACTCGATAAAAACACATTCCCGCGAAAGCAAATGCGCAACAATAGGACGTCTATTGCTAGGCAACTGATCAGTAAACACATTTCCTTAACAATAGAGGCTCTGTTTTCTGCTTGGTCCGTGCAAGGTGGTTATAAAGAAGTGTTCGGCAGTATAGAGCAATAGTACAGTGGAGTTCGAGGCGCCAGCCTGCCGGGATATGAGCCTGGAATTGAATTGAGAATAAGGGCAAGAATGGAGCTAGGCTGTGAAACGAAGACTTCATGTGTGATCTGAAATAACAGGGATACTGTTATAAAGCCGCTGCAAGGTTACGACTAATGAAAGCTAAGAACACTACTCCGTTTGTAACGGTGACCTATAAAGTGTGTAGAACAGCGATAGCGCTGTGATGCCTGTATTTCCGAACTGTGTAAATGTATACGGTGCAATACAACCCATTATCCAACCCAAACCCCGTCTTATCAGTCATACAAACGCTAAAATTTTAATGAGCCTTAACATTCAATAAAATGCATTATCGCCCGACACTTCGACAAAGGTGTGGCATGTTTCTGTGGAAGTAGGAACCAAAATAATACATTAACTAAATGAATTTTAAATTAATTGTCCCTTCAAACTGGTAAATATCCTTGCCATATTACAGAACCTCAGACATGTTTTGTATATGACAAAAATGTAAAATATTTTTCATGCATGTACATTGAAGCAAATATTATGAACATGCATGTACGTGATAGCTCTATGCCACTTATCTGTAGCGAATAATATTAATTGACTCTGAATGTTATAGCCAGAGTAACATACAATATATAACTAGCTTCGTATGTACAGAGAGAGACACATATATGTTTTTATTAAACAAACTTCAAAGAGAATGTATTTCCTCTGAGAGGAGAACGGTTATTTATAGGTTTATAACGTAAACGTGACTTGATTTTAGGTAATATTCCGGCAAGTCTGTAAATAACTTAGGGTTTAAGAAAGAACACCGCTCTGTACATCAGTTGGAATGGTGAAGAGCCGTAATTTAGGGTCGTGAAGAAGTGACTTACAAACCACGTCAATCTTCCAGCTGGACTCCAGGAAGGCACCTGTGATATTGGGGTTCTCCGCTCGACACGTGATGGACTTCCCATCATCGTCGGTTGAGGGTACGAAGCTCAGATCACTCACGGTCACGTTTTCTCGTGTTTCTTCCTGCAAACCAATATGTTCATTTAGTGCTAATGTAATGCCATTTGAAAATTTAACGGAAGACTTATTTAATTAATTTCTGAACATATACGTATTTTGGACATCTGTTAGGGTCCTTTGGGCGGGATAGGCATATCTGAATATCCCAGCTTACGCAGAAAGTCGTAAAGACAGTATAAATGCGGAGTAGCAAGTTGGATTTGAACCCATTATCCCAGCGTTTGAGCGGTTCGACGTTACGCGCCTTAGGTCCCATGGCCAATGTGATCGGAAGAGCGCACATCCTGAATTATATTTATCTGACCTGTTTTAAGGTGAAGAGAGAGGCAGAGGAAGGGGAAGATTAATGGCGACAGAAGGACAAGTAGAAAGGACTGGAAGAGGAATGCAGGAGAATGGGCAGAAACAGATAATTTTCAATGCACTTGTAAATAGAAGACGTGGACATCTTATGAAAATACACGTTCAATTTAGCAAATAGGAACAGCGTTTTCAGAGGCGTTTTGGTGGACGTAATAAAGATTGGTAGATAAAAATAAAAATGAATATAAATGCTCAGAGAAGAGACGTTACACCGAATTTTCAACACGCAATAAAATAGTAAATTGAAGTCGTGGACATCTTACCAAAATAAACGGCCAATTTTGTAAATAGCAATGATATTTTTTAGAAGCGTTCTGAACGATGTAATAAAAGGAGGCAGATAAAACAAAACTGAACACGAATGCTGCCTTCGATTTATTAACTTCAGAGATCCTTTTTTACAAGTGAATCGCCATTATTGTATCACTGGGGATCTGTGTTATTGCATTTTAACTGGAACTTTATCAAACAAATTAATCCACCTGTATAGAACGGAAGAGAACAAATAGTTTCTTTTCGTCTGAATTTTCACGTCCAATTTTTAATATCAGATAACAATACTTTGACTGGAACTATCGAGTACTAAGTACATCGTACAGAAAACGAACGGAATTGCACCAATATAGGGGCGCCACTGACTGTGATTCCAGTAAAGGATAATTGGTTTCTGGAGAAGTTAAAGAGTTCAGGAAAACCAGGAAACAGGAAATAAAAGCTTGATCAATACAGATGATAGCGAATGATAAAGAGAATTGAAAATAGATCTGGAGGACATAAAGAAATACATTATGAAGAGAAATTGAAAAAGGTTATTAGTGGAGAGAGACAGAAAGAGAAATGAGATATTGCGAGGGAAGACTCTGCATTGGAGTTTGTAATTGGAGCCATGCTGCTGAAACTGACGTCATCAGCAGCTGTTACGTGACGCAAGCAGGCTTCTGGTCTTGTCGGTAAATACAGAATAGAAACCCACCAGTTGAAGAAAGCTTTGGAAAATAATAAATTAACTAAAATAATTCCCAAATTTTTATACTCTTCAATTCCTTATCGTCACTATGAATTCCCGTGCTTATATTTTTTTTATTTCGCTCAATGCCGCTTAACACGAAGTTGTAGCGACATACGACCCTCAAATTAGTCTTTTAAATGCGCGAATTTTTTAGGTGAAACTGGGTGTACACTGGAGACAGTGCGACATTTCGGAGGAATATACCACCTCCACTTTCAGTGTCCAAAAATAAAGCCAAGCAGGCACCAAGCTACTGATTTCTTGCTTGGTTTACTTTTCGACCCTGAAGAAGGAGGCAATATGTTTCACCGATACTTCGGCTTCCTGCAAAGTACATGGTGATACAACTCTGAAGAGAGCAATGTTCGCACCTAACGCCATGTGACCTCAAATCCAATAAACTATATTTAAATTTAACTACATTTTAATTGAATTCACTTAATTCAAATTCATTAAATCGGTATTTCTTATTCTCAAGTTCTACATTTGCAGTCTCCTTGTTGCTTCCTCCCAGTTACATTTAAACTATAAATATTTTCTTATATCTCTACGATAATTAAAAGTAGTAGTATTCTTTTACAATGATTTCTCATCTGGTGGTATTTATAGAAACAACTATACTTTAAAGGGTTAATTACCATCCCTTTATCATAATAATATACACCAATTTCTCATTTCAGTACAATTTAATAAAACTAATGTAATCCCTGTCGAAAATTCATCAGAATATCCTTAACATTTAGCTAACATACACTTATTACTAGTTCATAATCTCAGTTTCACTGCAATAAATGTTATTAAGATAAATAATGTATTAACTAGCTAATCGGGACATCACAAAGAATGAACGTTAGCAACGCCATTTGTATTCCGCTCTGCGGTTAGCACTCTCCTGCCAGACCGGCAAATAACGCAGTAACCCTCTAAAGAATTGTGATTCTATACGTACCACCTGCTTCATTATGCTAATAGAGTTCATTCTGCCTGGAAAGCGCATTTGTGTTTCGGACGCTTCTCACAATAAACATCGCTTTATCCCCATAAACAATATTAAGTGGCGGGACTTTGTTGCGGACATGTAATGTGTTTTCTTTGAAGTAGAAATTGAGATTTTCTATGCTAATTAGAGGACATTTAAGTGTTAAGGCGGCCATAACGCATTACTATACCCCTCCTTTGAAAGATTTCTCACCGGTACATTTGAATTTACTATCACATGCATAGGTCTGTGACCCACGTCTTGCTTCCTTTGATATAAGAAACACGTTCATTTCTTTGTCTCCGCCCCTACTTCGGTTATATCAGCAGAATCTGGTCATTAGTTGAAAACAAACGCGTTTCTAGGTGTAAGCAGAACATGGCTGGACTAACAAGGTACAATAACCGTGCCTCTCTTTCGAGAGACTGCTTCAGCAACCACTGAATGTTCGTTTATATTCGATCTCCTTTGTCTTTGTACTTCCAAATCCATCATGGCGTCCTCTTACTTCTCATTCTACTCTTTACTCTTCAAATCCTTTGTGCAACTGTTCCCCTGGGACACCATCATCAGTCGATCAGAAGTCGAACTGGTTGGCTTAGCGAGAACGCTGTGGACTCGTGCTCGGTTCGAATATGGGCCCGGACACCAGCTCTCTTGACTGAAAATTTTCGTCGTTTTACTAAGTCCCTCGGACCAGATGCTGGGATAGTACTTCAATTAGGACAGAACCGTTTTCTTCCAGATAATTTCCCACCCACTATTCATCAACATCATGTCATTCGATACTACACAGTTTCTATATATCAAGTATATATCTGTCTGTCCGTCCGTCCATCCACCCATCCATTCCTTTTGCTCCAACATGAAGCATAGAGCATCCGTTAAACACTTCGTTTAACTTCAGTTTCTTTAGACAGTCGGTTGGACTTCTTGGACGGGGGATCAGCCCGTCGCAAGGCCGCTACCTGCACAAAGGACAACACAAACACAGAATAAACGTACACAGACATCCATACCTTGAGTGGGATTCGAACACACGGTCCTAGTGTTTGAGCGGGCAAAGACGGTTCATGCCTCAGACTGCGCAGCCACTGGGATCGGCTCGGTACGGATGCAGTAGGTGTAAATTAACCCATAAAAATATTCAGAATGTGTAACCTGAGGCAAAGTCGTCACTTTCGGTCAATATGCCTTTCGCAGCTTTACTTTATTTGTTACTGTACATGATCTTCACGAGAAAGCGAAAGAGGAGAAGTTCTGAAGAAAGCAGTCTTCTGGGATGTGGCGTTAACCGACGTTTCGGAGGAACTCAGCAGGAACTCGGAGCAGACTGCTTGTACCGGTTCGCAGGGTCTCTTCGATCGCGGATTTATTTTTCCTTCTACCCTGAAGATGGAGGCGATACGTTCCTCTGAAACGTCGGTTAACACCATATCTACATGGTGCCACATCCCAGAAGACTGCTTTCTTCACAGTCACCGCCATGACAACCTCAAATCTTAGAGGAGAAATTTTGCTTAACCAGTTGTAAAGTCACCACTTACTTATGAATTCCTGTACTAAGCATTTCTGCATTATTTATCAGTTGCAGAGTTCGTAGAGTCGAATTGTGCGAACGTGAATTTGAAAGGATATTGAAGAAAATGGTTGTGACTTTGTTTGAGGTACAAACTCCACATTTTCTTGAAGACACCGAGGGGAACATCCTGCCCCCCAAATTATCCAAAGTCTGTACATCTCATCTTCTGACCGATTTTCGAAAACAGCACCTTCCCTAATAATGGTAACCGTTGGACCGTGACTCTCAACACTGTGGACTTATGTACGTATATAATCCAACACTCATTTTGTTGATTCGTAACTTGGCCAACTTTTGTCTCTTTCTATCGTGGGGTGAGACTGAGTCCACTTGGTACTGAGGTCCTGTTTGGCCTATTGCACCAGCCCCATATGATAGATGATGATGAATGTGGAGCAGTAGGTGGAATGCGAATTGGCAGGGGAATCCGAAGAACTTGGAGATTACCTGTACCAATGCCACTTTGTCCACCACAAATCCCACATGACCTGACCCGGGCTCGAACACGGCCCGCCGCCGTAGGATGCCGGCGACTAACCGCCTGAGCTATGACACGGCCAAACTTAGCTACTTAGTTCATCAATTATTTAGTCCGGCAGCTAGTCAGCCGGTTAATGATAGATTTAATTACCAGTCTGCTTTATTAGTTAGGTAACTAATTGATAGCTTAGGTAGGCAGCTAATTTGTTATAGCCAGACGTGCCGATCACAGCGGCCATGAGGTCTGAGGCATGAACTTTCTTCGCCCGCTCAAACACTGGATCGTGGGTTCGAATCCCACCCGAGGCATAAATGTCTATATTTGTTCATTCTGTGTTTGTGTCGTTCTATGTGTAGGTAGCAGAAGGACGGATGGATGGAAGGTCGGAAGGACAGACAGACAGTCTAGCCAACAGTGGCTCCTAAAAGCACAAACAATTCGGTGTTACCACTGGAGTGAGAACTGATTGCTTCTCTCATAACAAAAAAATTAAGATTTGAGGTTATCACGGCGGTAGCTATGAAAATTTAAATCTTCTGGGTTGAAAGGCCATGTAATTCGATACCTCGCTTCGCTTACAATTCTACCTTGATGATGGTGGCGATATGCTTCTCCGAAACGTTGGGTTGGTTCATCTTTTTAAGCCAGAGGGCCATATGTTTCATGAAAATGATAGGCTGCAAATTTATGGTTAGTTTCATGAACAGAAAGCCTTTACAAAACGTCATGAAGTACAATTATTTTAGTGCTCTAAGTAAAGGAGTCACAAATGGGCAACATTCGGTAACACTGGTCTCTTCTGGTAATTCAAAGGAAATAGAAGTGACGCTCGGCCCTTACCTTGACGCGACGCAACTGCCTCTTGCCCTTATACCAGGTGATGACGGCCGGGGGCCTGGAGCCGGCAGATTCGCAGGAGACGTCGTACCGGCGGTCGGCAACCAGGGGCAGCTCCTTGGACAATATCCGCACGGTCAATGGTCGCACTGCGTCAAAGAATAAGAGTGGCATAAAGACAGACACAACACAAGAAAATGATGCACCCGTTGTGTAATGTTTTGATACAAATTGCGGGTCTGCACTTGACGTCGTTCACGATAAGACACTTCGAATTTCTACCCACAATCCATGACGGAAATTTGATATTAGTTTAGAATCGGCTATTTATTCAACTGGTTAAGAAAATATCCACTATAAAAGCTTTCATTACATTAAAGATTACTGTTCGTGATGTGACAAAGTGCAGTCTGGTATATTCTTATCAACTTTTCGGTGGAAGTTATTGCGTCAGTCTTCAGGGTAGAAGAGCAAGCCGAAGGTGGAAAGTTGAAAATGTTACATGTACGGAGTGAGACAGAAGCATCACCAGGTTCTTGTTCGCTAACCAGACTACAAGGCTGCACGGCGCCCCATCCTAGAATTGAGTAATCTTTATAGTCACCGCTAGTAAGGAACTAAAACCTTTAATTACCGTGTTCTCAAATGACAGACAATGTAGCCTGTTCTAAGAGAGTTTAATCCTGTTATAAATTTCACATCATATTTCTACAAAATTTATTTTAATATTATCTTTCTATCTACTTCTATGTCTTCCACGTATCCGCTTCCTTTGATACGTCCCGGGAAAATTTTTATCTCCTTACGTATCGTACGAATCTGGAAATCTAATCATCCTTTGCTAAATAACATTGACAACATGAAGTGAAGATTTAAACTTTTGAAAGGCTTCCAATATCCATTTTTTCAATGCTGCTAATGCAACATAACATCTCGTGAAGTACGAGAGCGATCTATGTACGACACCGTTTCTGTGCTTGGTAACCGCTTAGCCTTTAAGCCGATCAATATGGACTCCAAGGCAAGTGATAAGATTGTTAAAACAAATAAGTAACATAATTTCAGTAGATTTTATTAAAAACCGGAAGAACTGTGGGAGGTTCAGAATAATAATACAAGTAATATTTTATATACACTTATTAACATGTTTAACATGTAAAATGTAAATATCCCTTACATTATGACAAATGACTTACTACTGCAGACAGTGACCCTGACAAAATACAGACCTGTCCTCTCGTCAGAGAGGGCAACCCACAAAAAATAAGACCGTAACTGTCAAACAGTAATAAATATCTGGTCATGAGCCCCAAATGTGGCTCGACACCAAGACTAACTGACTGACTGACCGTCAGTCGCAATGTGACTTTGTCACAGAAGACAGAATACGACAGAACGCGGAAGTGACTCGGCAGTGAACCAAAGTGCTCTCGAGAACGAAGCAGAGCTCCACAGAGAGGGATCCGTTATCTAGAAGGAGCTGAGTGTGTGAACTGTTAAAGCCGAGTGTGATTGTAATAGTGACGTCAGATCTAGAATCCACAATTATTAGTCACGTTACCCCGGATACACGTGGCAATATGTTACTACAGAACAGCGGTGACGAAACATGTCAAAGCCATCTGTCTGACAATGGGAGAACCCTTTAGACACAAACGTCAGAAACATCTAGAACATCGCCCACCTATTATCAGATAAACTTAGAAACAAAGTAGATGTTAGAAATTCATAGTATTAAGCAAAGGCTAAAATGCCTTCTCTTACCAAAAATTAGGAATTTACAACAGATTTTTATACAGGGTGATTCATAACCTAATGTTTTGTCTTCAGGAGTTTATACCTGAGCTCATTCCCAGCCACAAATGTCAAACGAGTAGTATGTGCACACAAGTATGATTCTGAGCCTTTATGAAACACTTGATGTATTTAATTCAATAATTATTTTGATGTAGGCCACGGTAGTCTCATTTTGGCAACAATGTATGTTGACATGCGCAGATCTCAACACCCTAGAGTTCTATCAGCTGGGCGTAAATGAAGAATCTATCGTACCAGCGACCAATTGGAACATAAGATGCACTGCTGCGTCGCAGTATGGATGTTGCGACCAGTATAAAGGACAGACATAATGAAGCCATGCGAGTTACATGATCGATTCACAGAAAATGATGGATATGTTCAGAGGCTGATGGTGGTCATTTTTACAGTTGAGGAATTTAAAACTTTCAGCAATTACTGTTTCATTTATTTTTATCTTTTAACATTCCTGTAATGATAATCCATAACCGCTCAGAATCGGCTACGTGTTCTTTTAAGTCGATTATTTAACGATGCAATCAGTATCAAGACTAAAATGCAGGCGATAAAGAATATCAAGCCGGTCACGGTAGCCGAGCGGTCTAAGGCATGTACTGTCTTCGCTCGCTCGGAAGCCGGGATCGTGGGTTCGAATCCCACTCAGGGCATGGATGTTTGTGTGCGTTTTTCTGCGTCCGTATGCAGGTAGAGGCCTTGCGACGAGCTGATCACCCGCCCAAGAAGTCCTACCGTATGTCTAAAATCTAGTAAAACCGAAGTGAAACGGAGAGTTTCATGGAGGTAGGCCTAGGTCCAAATGAGGGCAGTAGCGCCAATGGAAAAAAAAAGAATATCAAGCAGTTGATGGAATGACTGCAAGAGAAACAGATGTACACCAAGAACGCCTAACCCAAGGCCACTTCGTCTACTACAAACCCCATTTAACGTAACAAATGTTGACTAGCAATGACCTCAGATATATTCTCCTTAAATTAAGAAATGAAATCACAGACACCCTGTAGAATGACGCATGCCTTAGTCACCCTCAAGTGTCAGACAGGAAACATGAAGACACTCGATCAATTTAGAGGAAATGATTTACTTACGATGAATGTCGAGCACGAGCGAGATCTCCCGAGGATCTGTGAGAACCGTGTTGATGGCCTGACAGGTTAGCACAGAGTTCAGATCTTCACGTTTCACTGACGGCCACGTCAGGCGGTTTTCAATGACGTCACCAGTGTTGTGTTCATATTCTTCGTCCACGAGAAATCCGTTGACGAGCCACCGGACAGAGGGCTCTGGCTTCCCTGATCAGACACAGAACAAATGATCGAATTAATGTAACCCTTCCAACGCTACACACAAGCCTGGTGGGGGGGGGGAGCTATTTATGCTTGGTGTCTGTAAAGATCAGTGAAAGAAATATGTCCTTCCATCCATCAACAGTGAAACTTAATTATTTATTATATTTCAGCAACACTGTGACGTACAGAACCATTGCTAGGTAACGACTCGGTAAACATATTCCCGTGGGAGCCAACGCGTAACAATAAAACGTCTATTGCTAGGCAACGCATCAGTAAACACATCTACTTCATAACAGAGACTGTGTTTTCCGTGGGGTAAGTGCAAAGTGGTTATAAGGAAGTGTTCGGCAGAACAGAATGAGTAGTCGAGTTTCGGAAAGCCAGTCTGCCAAGATATGAGCTCAGATCTGAATTGAGTAGAGTCTTCGGAATTGGCAGTTGCAGAATAAGACTTTATGTCTGATTTTAAGTGACAATGAAACTTATGAAATCCGTTGCCAGGATACGACTAGTGAAGAGTGAGAACCTTAGTGCATGTGCAACGGTGAACTCTAAATTTTGTAGATCAGCGATTGCGCTGTATTACCTATAGTCACAAGTTGTGAATGTATAAGGTGCAATAAATCCAATCATCCAATCCAGAACCCGTCTTATAAGTCACGCACAAGCTCCCTACATACGAATTTAAACTAAAATACGCTAATAACAAAATAATGCTCTCTGTATAAAATTCAGAATGATAATGTATGCAAAGGATCGCCTTTCAGAAGTTTATAGCTGAGCCTGTCAAGAAAATACCAACTTCATGCAATCCAGTCTCATGTTACGCCTCCAAGCACATAAAGCTCACTGAATCCTACTATACAGTATAATCTTACGGACATCCTGCAAATAATATCTCTAATATCCATTTTAATATGTATTCCCTTATTCTTTTGTTACTGGAAGTCAAGTTGTTACCATAAAGTTTTCAGACAAATGTTCTTCCATATACACATGAGAAATATTTGCATTCCTAAGTTTTATCACTGCCGGTCACGGTAGCCGAGCGGTCTAAGGCATGCACTGTCTTCGCTCGCTCGGAAACCGGGATCGTGGGTTCGAGTCCCACTCAGGGCATGGATTTTTGTGTGCTTTTTTCTGTGTTTGTCTACATGTAGAGGCCTTGCGACGAGCTGATCACTCGCCCAAGGAGTCCTACCGTATGTGTAAGATCTAGTAAACCGAAGTGAAACGGAGAGTTTCATGGAGGTAGGCCTAGGCCCAAATGGGGGCTGTAGCGCCATTGAAAAAAAAAGTTTTATCACTGTCATTGCTCAACTTCGAGTTAACAGAGCGAGTTGCTGTCCAGCGTTAACAAGACGCATGAAGTTCTGTAGTAGGTCATTAACAGGTAAGCAGTCTTTTGTTTCAGTGACTCGTGTATATTTTGTGACTATTGATAATAGTTTGATGTGGATATGTGAGGTGCATTATACCACACGAATGAGACTGTTTGTTGGCGTTATTTCGCCTGCTGCTATAAAAACGAATTTCTTGTTGCCGCGGGAATATATTTCATTACAAATAACGGTGGAAATCTCACTGGTAGACTTCCATCTCCGGGGCAACGATTTCCTAGGCATCGCTGCCTAGGAATTGCTAGCTGTTGACTAGTGATGGACGTCTTATAGTCCGACTTTCAGGCAGCAGGTCACAATATTTTTTGAACAACAGAAATTATGAATCTATTACACGTATTTAATCTTCTCCAACACCCTACCATCTGCTCTCTCTGAGATGTAGCCGTTCTCACCCTGTTCTCATACTCCCTTTCTTACTTCCGCGGTCAGTCCACTTCCAAGGAATTTAAAACGCATATAAGAAAGCTTCACTATTCAGTTTCACAGAATTGACGTGAATATAAATGTTCTGAACCTAACAGTAACAGGCATTTCGCGAAATTATTCGATTTTAGTTTTATCTTGAATATCATCCTGTTTGTTATTGTGTTTCCCAAGTATGCAATCTGCCAAATTCTGAATAAGATATATGGACAGTTCTTATATTGCAATTATTATGTATTCTTTTGCCGAAACATGAACAAACACTCAAAATTGTTATACTTATTTCTGAACTAATATCCTTACCAGTTATCTTCCTTTCTATTGTCATGCAGAAGGGGTGTGCGTGACTTATAGATGGGTTACGCACTTATTGCACACTTATACAACTTTCTTACCACGCTTCACGAACGACACAATATCTTCTCTTCGACTGCCATCTCCAGAAACTCCCTCAATTGTGTCTCTCAGTTGCGTGAGGTCCTCGATATACAGCCTTGGGGCGGCCCCACATAAAACATCGTTTCCAACAATACCCCATACTGTTGTGTATTCACAAATCTTTTGCTTGGAAAAGGCTTCTTTTTTGCGTGCATGTTCATTTGGAATGTGTTTACGCGAGCCGTTGCCTAACAATGAACTATTCAGTCTTTCATGAGTCATGTCATACTATTTGAATATACTGCTTAACGGAGGCACACAGTGAGTCAGATAGAACAGAAGTGACGATAGGTGATCAAAATCAGAACACAATTCGATAAATACACATAGGAAAGGAAGAGGATTTTCAGGCTGGTAGAAGTCCTAAGTAATTTTTAGGAGCAAGGAGGAAGCAGAACGAGGGAAAACGTATCGGGAAGTAATTATTTCGTTAACTAATTAAACTTCCAGTCCCCTCATCATGAGCATTTCAGAGTGCTTTGCGGCTAGTACGTAATTGCCAGTATTCAGGTGCAATTAACCAATTTAAACACGTAGCTTCTATAAATTACGTAGTGTAAAATGCTACACTCTATGGACAACCGACACAGGAAGAATTTGTAATCAAGCGCTGGAATCAAAGAATATAAGAAACATCTACGTAATTACCTGCCTACCTACTTACCTATCCACCAACCCATCAACCCGCACACCTACCCTACCTTTACACTCACCTACCTACCTATCTACCCCCATTCACCCACTTACTTATCTATCTATATACCTACCAAATTACCCGCCCTCACACTCACCGACCTATCTACCCAACCAATATACGTATACATAACATACCTATCCACCCACCTACCTACCTACTTACCTACTCAACCAACCTACCTACAAGATTTTTTTTCGCTTAGTGGGGGGTAGAGTCCAACTGGGTCCACTCGGCACGGCGGTCACTGATTGGCCTATTGTAATCTGCCCTGGGTGATTATGATGATAGTGAATTTAGTGGAATGATGATTGGCAGGGGAAACCGAAGTACTCGGAGGAAACCCGCCCTAGCGCCACTTTGTCCACCACAAATCCACTTCACCAGACCGGGGATCGGACCCGGGCCGCCGCGGTGGGAAGCCGGCGACTAACCGCTTGAGCTATGGCGCGGCCCTTACATACCTACAAACCTACCCCCACCCAACTCCTGAAAAGGACTTGCCATGCGGATACAAGAAATGCATGAATAACATCAGGGCCAATTTCCGGCATCTGCTTTAATATGGGTGTTTTATTTTTGTGTCTTTTTGGTTTCTTGGCTTGTCCTCTGTGCCATAGGTCCAAATGCACAGCGCGAGATGGCGCGAATAGCCTATGTTCTTCTCGCCCGATCGACTGAAGGATTTTCGAGAGGTTCTCAGAAGAATTTCCTCTCTTAATTGCTGCAAATCACTCATAATGGTACTGTATTTAAATACATTATTTTATATGCGGTAATTATCGTCGCTATAAGTAATTTTCAATGAGGTAATATTAATAATAATTTAAGATAAATTAATACCCAAAATTCGTATAATTTGTGTATTCATGGTTATGTAACTCAATTGTAGGGATAACATGCCTTATATTGGGCACAGTGGTCGCGCAGTCTAAGGCATGAGCTCTCTTCGCTCGCTCGAACACTGGGATCGTTGGTTCGAATCACACTAAAGGCATGCATGTCTGTGTGCGTTTATTCTGTTTGTACTGTTCTGTGTGTAGGTAGCGGCCTTGTGGCTGGCTGATCACTCGTCCAAGGAGTCCTACCAACTGTGCATAGGATTTAAGAAATGAAGAAGCGGCCAAGGTACAACAAAGGGCTGTAGAGCCATAAATAGACAGAGAGACAGAGAGGTAGATAGATAGATGAGACCCTTCTGCATCTCAGGCTGTAACCAATCTCTAAGTCAGCTGCAGCCATGTTTTCTCCAAAGTATGTACCTCAAGATTTTGTAAGAGTCCCTAAAATCTGTAATGAAAATCGATCCAATAGGGGCAAAGGCGTTTCACGTGAACAGATTACGAGAAACATGAATCATGAGAGCTGCTGTCACGACCGAGGTTCGAATCCAGCACCATCCGAATACAAATCTAGTGTTTTTCAGGGAGACTGCTCAGTTAAACATGAGCGGTAACCACCGTACTGCACAGCAATAAGAGTGGATGTTGGCTTTTCAGCTTAACGCACGAAGCGGAAATGGATTTCACGCCGGAACAAACAGCGCTCTTCCCTCACTGGAAAGCTTCGTGAACATATAAGGCTGGTGACTAAAGGACTTCTGATTATCCTGTTTCCTTATCGAATAAATGAATATAGGAATCATTTTATCAACTTTTATATTAATTAACAATAATTAACGTTCGCCTCAATTACTTTTATAATATTGTGACGTGGATGGTTCAACAGGAAGTAGGGGTCACGTGAACTCTGCGTTCTCACGAGTGACGTCACATACCCCACTCCTTCCATCATTACGCAACGCTCGGTAAACACCCTGTGACGTCACGCAACAGGCGAGTCCGTACAGCGACTATTGCTAGGCAATGCGTAGGTAGAAACACCTGACAACAATACCTGATATCTGTTGCCGAGCAGCAAATTGTTCTCTATGTTGTCCGTGCCGAGCCTAAATAAGGAGCAGCGAACACTATTCAGGAGCAGCCCGTGTGGAGGCGGGGTCGAATACCTCCACCGTGACCCTGCGAGTTGTAAGAGGCGACGAAAAGGGAAATCTCAAATCTGAGACAGTAAAATATGGTCTCGAGTCCCAAGGGACTCAGACCCGAGGAAGACTGCACTGGCAAGGGCCAGCAGCATATACGAAAGGCAGACCCGTCCTCTCGCCAGAGAGGTCGCCCCACAAAAACAAGCCCGTAAATGACAAACAGTAATAAATATCTGGTCATGAGCCCCAGATGGAGTTCGACACCAAGACTTACTGACTGAATGATGGTCAGTCGCAATGTGAATTGGACTTGGACTTTTCAGGAGTAGTGAGTAGTGAGTATTGAGTTACTATAGAATAACCAGAGAGTTACTAGGATCCAGCATGAGTTGAAGTGCAGCAGTCGCCGAGTTGAGTTGTATCGAGTGCATGGAAGTGACCACAGCAGAAGTAATTGTGATACTGCAGATGGCAGCACACTTGTGTAATTGTAAATTGTATAACTGTAAGAGCGAGTGGAATAAATTCGCTTGATCCAAAACGGCGTGAAGTTGTTTGTCGCGTGACACATACCCAACACGTGACAACATGTTATAATTGTTACTACAATTATTTGCACTTATATAAACTAGAATTCAATTATTATTATTATTATTATTATTATTTCTAAATACTTATACTTTATATCTCTCACTTCTCTACAGCAAGTTAGATTTGTGTTAATGAAATTATTATTATGAATATTATTATTACTACTACTATTTCTAGTACTACTACTATTACTTATCTTGTACTCTTCTGCAAGTATAATTAGAATGATCAAGTCAAGGAGGATGAGGTGGGCAGGGCATGTATCACGAATGGGGGAGACGAGGAATGCGTATAGGATATTGGTGGGAAAGCCAGAAGGAAAGAGACAACAGGGAAGACCAAGGTGTAGATGGGTGGACAATATTAGAATGGATGTTAGAGAGATAGGATGGGATGGTATGGATTGGATGGCTCTGGCTCAGGATAGGGACCAGTGGAGGGCTCTTATGAACACGGTGATGAACCTTGAGGTTACATTAAATGCTGGGAAATTCTTGAGTAGCTGCAGAATTGGCGGCTCCTCCAGAAGGGCTCAGCTCATAGTAAGTAAGTAAGTAAGTACTACTATTACTACTACTTTGTCTCATTTGCATTAATAGGTTTTTTCTCCAGTGCTTACCTTTCATTAATCTCTGACTTTATGATGTGTTTTGTCCATAATGCAATCACCTGTATCTACACTGTGCTGTGCCTGTAATCGGCCTTGTGGCTGTTGGCTAGGCACATAAATAATAAAGAATTGAACAGAATTTATCATCCTGCAATACTGCAACATATTGAGATGTAAAAGAACCACAGAACGTGAACAGATAACATTAATAAAAGGCTTTTTAGTTTTTCTCTGTTTCTCATTTTCTGAAGAAAATGTCATGTCAAGGGTAAATGACGCTTAAAAATGTAAAATGGGAACGTGTGGGCCCTTCTGGAAATGATAGTAGTGTCATTAGACTGCATTACGAAAATTACTGAAAAGGTGGGGTGCGGGGCAAGAATGCTCTGTGGGGGGATAGAACTGTGTCACGCTTTGCTGCCCGCTCGGAAAATGTGTCAAGGGGATCACTGGATGGAAAGTTTCTGGGACAGATTGTAATAAAAATGAAATTCCGTATTATGTATCAGCAGATGGTACCCTCACGTATTATTCAGAACAGTAAGCAGTGAAACTAGGGCTTCACGGATGCTCTATGCTACAAATTGGGAGTAACAGGAAAAGAGAAAGTCATACCCGGGCTTAATTACTTAAGCATCACTCCGTAAAGGTAAGAGAGCTTGGCACTAGATTGAGAAGAGTGGCCAGTTTCACGCCCTCGACTTTCAACGGATTACATGGCGTTATATCCCAGAAGATGAAACTCTTCCTAACCACCGCTGTGAGAACCCCTACATGGCGATCCTTGTGAACTGCTTTCCCTCCATCTGATTACTGTCATCCTATCCCTTACCTTGTATTCAATTTCACCACATGACCCTAATATAATCTAGTCAGCTACATAATTTCAACGCACATTTGACTTACATTTCAGTCCAAGTAAAGGACGTGAAAGGGGCGTGCAAGAAAAAGATATTTATGGAAAGAGATGCTTCGTTAGTTCCAATATCTACCGCATGAATCGCAACTGAAGCAGACATTTCTGTCTGGTTCGTTAGATTGTTTAACTCGCGTGTAACTGGGAGCCAGGGCAGGGAGAGGATTTTCCTGTCTGCCTTTCATTTGATTTTATCCACGTTCTAACATTTCTGAAGACAATATCATCGCATCTTTGCAAGCTTTGTTACTAACTGCGTCAATAAACACAAAGATAAATGGGAAACCTGTGAGGATATTTACAAATGTACAGTGGATTTTACTTTTATATTCGTTTATTAAGGAAAAATTCTTTCTGTTCAAAGGCAAATACGTTCATGTAAGAAGATAAGAAGGAATAATCATAGTTTCATTGGTGCGTTAATGTTTTGTATCTAAAATCGAACCCAGAAACATCCGGGATGACACAGACCCAGCTACTGAGGCAGATTATTATATATTTTCCTTTATTTTACCGCAGCCTTCTTCTCTACACCGGCTTCTAAAATTTTAAATGTCTTCTCCTTACTTACGCTCTCCCATCTCTTACTCCCACCCTTTCTTTCACCATCATCATCAAGAACTCTGCCGGCGTAGGCTTAAGTTCGGTACTCTCTTTAATCATAAAATTAACCCTTTTACTTGCCCCTCTTATATTCAACTTCCTCCACCTTCGTTTTCTGTTTCTTTAACTTCTTAATTAATTAATCAATCATTCATTCTTCCACGTGATCAAATTTTCTCTGACCTTTGGCCTATTCCTAATTCTTAATTACCTCCTCTAATACTCTGTGTCTAGTTCAGTTTTCAGTTTTACGATTCATCTATTTTAGATATAACATTTAAAAAAATAAGATGCGAGGATATATTGTTGTACAAAAAACTGGCCGCCTGTCACTTCTCACACCCTCGAACCCACTCCCTTGTCTGAAATTTTTCTTCTGCGCATTCAAGGTTACTCTTGGCCTTGTTCGAAGTTATGTGGCACTTGCTTTACCTACACCGTAATGAAGCTGGACTGCGCTTCTAACTAGTGTTACAAAGATAAAGCGCATTAGATCAATTACAGCTTTTTTACTTCCGTTTGTGTATTTATTGATTCCATGCGTACTCACTTTGATCATTTGTCCTAATTTCGATTATTTCTGTATTTTATTTATTTACGGCTGAGGTCTATTTAGTGCCGCCGTCAATATCTCAGGTTACACAAAATCGAATATTAGGATAAACTGTAAATAATGAACTGTAAAGGATATGGAAGGATGAGGAGATTGCCTAATCTAAGATACCACCCCAACATTTGTCTGAAGGGACAGAGTAAAACCACGGAGAATCTAAGCTAGAATAGTCAGTGTTCCGGACGAGATACGTAAAATGACCCTCCCGAATAAAAACCCAGAAGCTTTATCGCTTCAGCAATGTCAGTACATCCGCTTTGGAACACGTTTCGATATTACTCCTACCGACCAGGACTGGGTGCCCTACCTGTACTTTACCGTACGTCTGTGGCTAGGATTCTGGTTCTGCGTGCAAAACTCACCACCGATGACTCTACACGTCAGGATGACGTCATCTCCCTCGTTGTGGGGTCCCACAGTAGCGTTCAACTGACGCCCCCAGTGGTCAATGATCGTGGGCAGTGCGGGAGGAACTGGAACAAACGAATAAGGTTCTGTTAGTAATATTCTTACTTTAAACGAAAGGAACGTCGAAAGAATACAATAAATCATTTCAAGAAATTAAATAATAAAAATCGAATTTGATATTGATCATGGGATCCATCAGAAAGATTAATTTATCGGAGCATCCATTTCACTCATTAGAATATATTTTATGAAGTAATGAACACATAATTGGAAGGTCGTCTATAGTACAAGATTTTAATTGCATTTAATTGGATTACTTTCCGGACAAACCCTGTATTGAGAGTTGTGGGGAATGCAGAAAGTCGGAACCATTAAAGACATGATAGCAGCATGGATCAGAAACTACTACAAAACAATTGATTTAGTTCAGTCCAGTTGAGCCCAAGACAAGTACGTTACAGACAATACGTTTTGAACTGGTGCTGTAAAAAGCAGGTAAGTCTGTCCCCGTCATATCCTCTCTTGATGGTTCCTTCAACCCTCACCCCGCAAGTCTCACGATTTCGTCTATCCGTACGTTTCATTTTCGAATTTATTCAACATATTTCAGAATTATTCAGTACTGTGACTGCCAGAGTTCAGGCGGTTAGTTACTGGCTTCCCACAGCGACGACCCGAGTTCGATCCCAGGCCAGGCCATGTCGGATTTGTGGTGGACAAAGTGGCAGTGGAGCAGGTTTTATCAGAGTACTTGGGCTTCCCCTGCAAATTCTCATTCCACCGACTACTCCACTGCTGGTACAATAGGGCACTTAGTAGATGACGTACGAAATTCTCGCCCCACACCAAAACTGAAAAACGTACGACACAAATGCGTTATCATTCCTATTTTTATATGTTCTTTTATCTTTCTCTTTTTTCTTTGTTTTATATCCTTTCTCCTTCATTTCTTTCTTCATTTTATACCTTTTGCCTCTGTAGAGGGCTGGGAGAGCTCGACGAGTGGAAATGTACCAGAAGACTTCCTGCAAAGAACATGTAACAGCAGCAAGAACTAGGGCTGGACTATTTATGTGATTGCTGATGACGCTGCAGCATATATCATTTAATTGATTTCCTAAACGGTTACGCGGAAATAAGCGGCGGCCTATGGGAATTCAATATTCATACTGTTAACTATTATCTTGCAATTACTGATGCAATTTTAACTGCATGTGTGCACGTTCAAATTGATACTAATGGCGTGACATGATATCTGAATTAATACTGCGTAAATGCGAGTCTCCATAAACCGGTTTACATTTAAAACCAGTCGGCTAGAACCAACAAACTATGAGGGCTAGCACGTTGCAACTGAAATTTGTAGCGCGCTATAAGCCAATCAGATTTTTGGACTAAATACGTAAAATTCTCCATGAAACGAAAAAATGTCTCCTGAAATTCAAGATTAAGTAAAATCAAGCAAATTATAAAGTAGCAGAAGAATATAAAACTAAAACTGAACATCGCTGAAAGTGAACATTTGTTTCAAATTGTCATGATTTAGTGTGACTACACACGGGATTCGAATTGGTGACCAGATTTATTGCACACTCACACAACTCCTTACTACACTTCACAAATCACTATAGGACACGATAGGTCTTTTCAGTCTGTTACAGTCTTCACTAACCGTTGCTTGGTAACTGCTTCCAACATTGGACGTTCACTTTCCTGAGGGTTCCTGAGTGGTCCCCAGCCATAGCTACTAGCTTCTAGCAACAACAGCTTATAGCGACTGAATCGTGGCAGCTCTCTGAGTCTGTGTCTGAGACCGACTGACCGGCGGTCAGTCGGCCAGTCTGTCTTAGCATGAAGCACCCATCTGGGGCTTGCGACCAGATCTTTATTACTGTCAGACAGTTGCGGCTTTGTTGATGTGGGGCGCTTTCTCTGAAGAGAGGAGGGGTCTATCGTTTACAATTTATATTGGTCCTCGCCAGCACAGTCATTCTCGGGTCCGAGTCCCACTTGCTGATGTGGGGCGCTTTCTCTGAAGAGAGGAGGGGTCTATCGTTTACAATTTATATTGGCCCTCGCCAGTACAGTCATTCTCGGGTCCGAGTCCCACTTGTTGATGTGGGGCGCTTTCTCTGAAGAGAGGTCTATCGTTTACAATTTCCATTGGGCCTCGCCAGCACAGTCATTCTCGGGTCCGAGTCCCACTTGTTGATGTGGGGCGTTTTCTCTGAAGAGGAGGGGTCTATCGTTTATACTTTCTATTGGTCAACGTATATTCATTAAGGATAACATAAAGCCAGCTAGTAGCTATACTGAAAATGTGGCGAACTTAAAATATTTGCGAACGAAAGTAACAAATTAAAATTTGATTCACGAGGATATTTGAGTTCAGATTAAATTCGGACAGTACTTGCTACTATTAAGCTCAGAAACTTTTGCCTTCTTGTATTAAGATTAAAACATACAAAATTATAATTTTGCCTGTGGATCGGTATGGGTGTGAAACTTGGTCTCCGACATTAAGGGAGGAACATAGACTGAGGGTGTTTGAGAACAGGGTGCTAGGGAGAACATTTCGGCCGAAGAGAGATGAAGTGAAAGGGGGGGGTTGAGAAAACTGCATAATGAGGAGTTTCGTAACTTCATTCTTCGCCAAACATAACGATAATGATCACATCATGGAATATTACGAGTATATGGGCAGGCATGTAGCGCGCATGGGAAAATAATTCATACAAATTTTTGGTGGGTAAGCCGGAAGGAAAGAGACAACTATGAATTCCTAAACGTAGATGGGAAATATTAAAGCGAATCCCAAATAGGACGGAGTGGAATGGATTGGAATTCATCTGGCTCAGGATGGAAATCATTGGCGGCGTTTTGTATAGACGGTAACGAACCTTACGGTTCCATAAACAGTTACATTCTTGAGTTACTGAGCGACTGGTGGTTTCTCAAGGACTAGATTCCAATTAGTTACTTACGTCGTTAATTGGTCAATTAGTTAGTTAGTTAGTTAGTTACTGAATTATTAAAGAAACTTCTAGTTGTTACGACCTAAGGGTCTTATCTTTACTACAAATTCCTGTCTCATTTTGTCACAGCCCAGCTCTATAAGATCCCTACAATAAATTATCACTACCAAAATCATCATCATCATGATCGTTGTTGTGAGAACCTAATGACTAACGTTCCTTTCACAGTGCAAGCTACAATTTTAATGACGTGTATCTCTGGAACTGTTAACGACACGACCATGTGGGTGGTCTCATGTAACAGTTTTGAGGGACGTCCTGAGTGTCTGTGAGAGGGCTGAGAATGCGCCAACACGTCAGTATGCATTTTTAATCATCACCAGGAGAAGGCGAGCATGACAAGAAATGACGGACATGTGTAAGAATATTAATGAAAATTTGCAGGAAACAATTTATCTAGCCTTCAGCACCAGTGTTATTGATTGCTTTGATGAGATAATTAACAACGATTGATTAATTTAGATTTTGGAAACCAGCCAACTGGTCCTCAGATATGGGTTCTGTTTTACAAACAAGTTGTTTCATCGCTGGTTCCGAAAGGAGGGTGTATGTGTGTGGGTTTGAAGTGACACTAACCCAGTGTTTGGGTTACGTTCTGTTCAGCACTGCAGTAACTTCACTACTTATATTGCTACACAGCTCGAAGGTTCAATATTTCTATTAGGTAATATGAATTTGGCCGGTCACGGTAGCCGAGCGGTCTAAGGCATGCACTGTCTTCGCTCGCTCGGAAGGCGGGATCGTGGGTTCGAATCCCACTCAGGGCATGGATGTTTGTGTGCGTTTTTCTGCGTTTGTCTACAGGTAGAGGCCTTTCGATGAGCTGATAACTCGCCCAAGGAGTCCTACCGAATGTGTAAGGTTTAGAAAAACCGAAGTGAACGGAGTTCATTGAGGTAGGCCTAGGCCCACTGGGGCTGTAATGCCAAGGAATAAAAAAAAATATATGAATTTGAGACTCTGCAATCCTCAGAACATAAGAACGGTAATAATACTGTTTTCATTAACAACGTGTTTCAAGGTTTAAAATAAGTGCAATTTTATTCGTTTCTTTAGCAGAACTTGTGTATTGACACGCTATAGGTTAATTGTCTATTATATTTCGATCTTTCGGTCACCATCAGGCACCCACATTCACTGTTGGCAGAACTGCTCACGTCTTATATTGGCCGATGTTTACAGTAGGTTATTTTGTGTTGTCGGATTGACATACTGGGATGCGTCACCATAAATGTTCTTGTTAAATTGTTAAAATTTGTTGAAATCTAGAGTGCCCTTTTAATGAAAGTTTTATTCTTTCCTTAAGTATATTTCTTTTAATTTAGTTCAACATTTTAAGAAGGGTATATATGGTTGCATTACACGCCACTGTATCAAAACGGCAACACAAAATGTCCCTGCTGGAAACAGTGGCCAATGTAAGGAGTGAGATTTGCAGACAACTGTGAATGTGCATAATTGATGATGACCGAAAGACCGATAATCAATGGACAATACAATTATACAGAAGTCGTGAAGACGGAAATAAATACAAATTGGAAATACAACGTGATGTTTCGATAAAATATTTATTTCCTCTATCCGAGTCGCACCGCACCTACCTAATTTCTTTACCCTGACAGAATTATTTGACCCACATACTTGTATGCCGTGCCATAACTCAGGCGATTAGTAGCCGGGTTCGAGCCCAGGACAGGTCATGTGGGATTTGTGGTGGACAAAGTGGAACCGACTGCTCCACACTCGTCGTCCCTCATAATTCATCAGAGGCAGACGTCATTGGGCTGCACTCCTAAGTTTATCTAAATTTATCAGTCTTTCATTTTGGTTCGATAAATCTTTGATAATAATAAAGGGCCACATTACGCCGTTCTTGCTAATGAAGTTATAATATTTCGCTTCTGAAATAAACAATTTGTGGTGAGTGAAATCGTGTCGTTGATTTCTAGCAGTGGACTGGCTTTAAGTGTGCAGTTTTCTGTTGCCTCAGTTATTACCGTAACACGATCCTGATAAGAGTCAAGTGGGCT